AAAAAAAAATCCCCATGACTTATTTATTTTATAACTGGAAGGTTGTACCTTTTGAGCCCTTCAGTCATTCTGCCCACCTCCCACTTCCCGCCTCTGGCAACCGCCGATCTGTTTTCTGTACCTGTGAGCTTGTGTGTTGTTTTCGGTTTTTGTTTAGATTCCACACATAAGTGAGATCAGATAGTATTTGTCTTCCTCTGTCTGACTTACGTCACTTAGCATGATCCATGGTTTGCAAATGGCAAGATCTCCTTCTTTTGTGCAGCTGGATAATATAGGTATCACTATTTCTTCATCCATTTATCCATCAATGGACACCGATGTTGTTTCCATATCTTAGCTATTGTAAATAATGCTGCGATAAACACAGGGGCCTGGGGGTGCAGGTATCTTTTTGAATCAGTGTTTTTATTTTGAGATAAATACCCAGAAGCAGAATTGCTGGAGCATAGGGTAGTTCTATTTTTAATTTTTTGAGGAACCTCCACACTTTTCCAGAGTGGCTGCACCAGTTTGCATTCCCACCAACAGTGCAAGAGGGTTCCTGTTTGTCCACATCCTCGCCAACACCTGCTATCTCTTATCTTTTTGAAGACAGTCATTCTAACTCGCATGACGGGAGACCTCATTGTGGTCTCGATTTGCATTTCCTTGATGCTTAATGACCTTGAGCATCTTTTCATGCACCTGTTGGCCATCTCTAGGTCTTCTTTGGAAAAAAACGTCTATTCAGATCCTCTGCCCATTTGTAAATCAGATTGGTATTTTGCTACTGCGTTGGAGGAGTTCTTTACAGATTTTGGATATTAACCTCTATCAGATACATACGTGATGGGCAAATATTTTCTCCCATTCAGTAGGTTGCCTTTTCATTTTGTTAATGGTTCTCCTCCCTTTTCTAATTTCAAAATAACTTTCATCGCATGCTTTGAAGGGCCAGTGAGGAAGGTGAAAAGGAAGCTAGGTCAGGGGAGACACAATTCATCATAAAAGTCAATGCACCGCCTACACCTCTACTCTCATGTTGCTCTCACAGGCCGTGTGGCTACTGTTTCACCCAAAAGCACTTCCTTAGCTTCCAACCACAGTGAAAGGCTCCCCTAAAGGTCACTCTTCTGTCCAAATAAGGCCCATAAAATACACTTGTGGGCATAGGAAAAAGTTATGCCTTCGTTAAAATACCAATAAATGCCGGGAACACAGGTCATTTAAAAAGCCCAAGTTTAGGGGCGCCTGGGTGGCTCAGTCGGTTAAGCGTCCGACTTCGGCTCAGGTCGTGATCTCACGGTTCATGGGTTCGAGCCCC